CTCTTCCATTTCTGGCGTTCCTACATTTCGGGAACGTCCTGCATTACTTTTTGAGATAGCAAAAGAACTGGTTTTTCGCATTCTTCGATGAACACTGGAAAAGATTGGATGATTTGGAATCCGACGAGTGGAAACCACTGTTTGTACAGTCTTTCGTGCTTCGCGTCCATTCCCTTTTGTTTCACCGTATGTGTGGTGAATATCTGCCAATTCCTCGTACGTGTACTACGCCATAGCAATTCACGAAATGTTTCGAACGATGCTTATTAAGGTAATACTTGAAGCGATGATGTTGTGCCGTTTTCAAGGACACTATATTCGCTCTGATTGGCTTTCTCCGCTGTCAATTCAAAATGCTGCTTCTTCACAGTGCAAATTTGCATACGGTTAATTCTTGATAGTCCTTAGGAAGATAGTCTCCTTTTTTTTCCTCGATGCGTTTCTACTTTCCTCATTTCTGCGTCTCAGAGTGGAATGCGACCCTATGTTCTATGGAAATTATTGCTCGTTTGGATGGATAAAATTCCCCTCTTAATTTGTAAAAACAATTTAGAATCAACCTCTATATAAATCTGAATGTAACTTGTAATCTTGTTTTGGATTTCAGTCTGCAAAAATCTTTAATTATTGTAGCATCGTACTTAACACTAAACTGTATTTTACAGATGTCAGATCATCTGTATAGCTGAGCATCTTTTTTGGGTTTATCACCATATTGTCACTCTTCGGATGTGAATTACATCATTAAGTTGTATTTACTTGAAGTGAAATATGGGTTTTTGAGCAGACTTTAGATGCTGTAATTTGCTAAAGAATTAGTACATAATGAATGGATGCTATGATTATTAAATGTAGATGTGATCTTTCTTTATATCCTGACCTAGAATTATTAACTCATACGTTAAACAATTCAATTACTTTAATTCTTAATAGGAATAGTAACATTTTTAACTATAACAGTGTTAAAATACAGAAGATGAGTACTCTAGTCTTAGAGCTTTATTATAATAACACACTCTTTTTCCACCATCAGCAAGACAAAGTTCTTAGGCAGATTTCTGTTCGTTTCATATCAAAAACTCTACTAATTATGTAATAGGAAGGGGGAATGCGGTACTCTGTAGGTTTTTATCAAAACGTTGCAAATTTTATTAGAACATTGCAAACACTATACATCGTGTCCACAAATGTCCTTACCCGATCTTTACTTTCGCAAAAATAAATATCAGGAAAAATTAAAATATATAATGACAAACTAAAAATAAAATATCAGTTTAGAAAAAAAGGTTTCTAATGTTACTAGATTAAGTGATGAGCATGTCCGTTCAGATTGTTGTAATAAATACTGAAAATACATTTTTTTTCGAAAAAAAAGATCTTATTCACACAATCTTAGAAAACCCGTGTTCTAAGAAACACTGGCACATAGACAACTCATAACAAAATATTTGCATAAATTACAAAATTAAAAATATTTATATTTTAATGAATTTTTTGTACGAAATGCAAGCTAAATATTCAAACTGAACCTTTTCTAAAGCAATAAAACTAAAACTTCATGAGAGTATTAATAATATATTTTTAGGTTCGAAAACTTCTAATTTACTTGCGTGAAAACTTTTTCGGCATACCATTTATAAGAAAATTTTGCACTAATAAATCACAGCTGAATCCACATTCATTGAATGATACGTAGGTTGGGGCAAAAGTCATGGCAACTATTTTTTTTTTTTTTTTTTTTTTTTTTTTTTTTTTTTTGAAGATACTAGTCCGGTTGATAAATGTAACATATACAGAAAGGACAAGGTCTTAACTATATGTGTGGACAATGAATAGCACTGAAATATCGTAACACACGAATTTATTATGGTAGTATACAGGGCAATATGGCCTTCACCGTGCAAAAGAATGATAACACAGTACACATAAAGTTGACATGACAAACCTGGGCCTAAAGACACTCATTGTAGTCCCCTGCTACTCTCACCACACGCTGCCAACTTTGTGGGAGGCTCTGAATACCATCAGCCTCAGCATTTGCCGCACTATGTGTGAATCGGGTCATCTGTTGGCGCACAGCATTAGCAATGTCCTCTCGTGCTGCAAACCGCCTACCACGTATGGGTTCCTTAATCTTGAGAATGAGATCAAAGTCACAGGGCGAAAGGTCAGGAGAGTACGGTGGGCGCTCCAATTCTTCCTATCCCCAACGTCGAAGTAGCTGCCGTACAAACTCTGCTTTATGTGGTCTTGCATTGTAGTGCAGAATTATTGCACTGTCCACAAGATCCGGACGTTTATCCCGAACGCCACGTCGTACCTGTCGCACCAGGAAGTCTTTGAGTAGGACTGTGCGGTCACTGTTCTGCCATGAGGAACAAAGTGGCAAACAATCACACGCCTGACGTCATACGCGACGATCATCATCAATTTGACTGGGGAAGGATTTTGACAGACCTTCTGCTGCCTTGGTGATCCAGGATGTCGCCACTCCGCGCAGTTTTGGTTCGTATGCCCTAGCCCAAAATTCATCGATGGCGATTATTCGTGACAAGAATTGATCGCCGTCCTGTTGCCAGCGTGCAAAGTGGTCGGAGCATATTGCATAACGCACCCACCTTTGAACTTCCGTCAGTGCATGCGGTACCCACCGCAAAGCGATTTTGCGTAGGTGTAGCTCATTACGCAATATCCTGCGAATGGTGCGTTTCTCGATGCCACTTGCCCTCTCTAACTCTAGTAACGTCAATCGTCTGTCTTCATCCATGAGATGCTCGATGACGGCACGTGCCAATTCCGCACACTCACCGGTCATCCCGAACGTTGCTCATCACTGGTTGACACACGTCCTTGCTGAAACTTTCCTACCCACCGTGCTACTGTACGATATGGTAGGACATTATTCCAGAGGGCTTCTACTAATTCACTGTGACATTCCATCGCATTTCGCTCTCGGAGAACGGCTATTTTGATGTAAGAGCGCTGCTCAACACGAGTTACTTCCATCTCGTACGACATTCACCAACTGAAACTGATTTCAGAGCCCTTGCTACCACAGAGCCAGCTATCACAGAGCCATCTGTTGTTCTGCATACACACTATGCATGTAGAACTTCCCCACGACACATATACGTTTTGTGATCTACAAGAAAAAAATTGTTGCCATGACTTTTGCCCCAACCCTCGTATTTAAAGGGAGAGAATGAACCTCAAAATATTCCAATTTATTTATTAACCGATTCCTTCAAAGATAAGTTAAAAAGACGGCAATAATTATCCAAAATTTTGAAATTAAATATCTTAATCTGTTTTTTTCGTGCGGGAGTCGAACGTTTCGTTTTTCATTTACCAGGAATATAAATTTTGCTAAATTTAAGTATAGGGATCAGCAGACTGTATAAAAGGTTAAATTTCGTGAATTTTATAAAATTGATTTCTTTTTTGAATGACATTAATTTTAATGACATTTTTTAATGATTTTTAATGATTCATTTTTAATTTTAAAATGACAAAATATGATTATTTCTTTCTTTTAAAACAGTTTTTGGATTTGGAAGTAATGTCTACGATCAACGGTTACGCAAATAAAGACCGATTAAGGACGTTTTGGACATGATATATATTTTTTGTATCACATTGATCACATTTGCTACAGACTTTATAGTTCGAAAAAATAGCGATATTGGAACAGCGTACATGTTATTCGAACTATTGGTTAGATTAGAATCAGACTCGGTAATTTTTTTTTACTTCGTTTCCTCTTACTACTACTATTTACCCTTTATTCTAGCCGCACAAACGGTATAGTGGTTAGGGTAACCTACTGCGATACAAAAGGCCAGGGTTCGAATTCCGGAGACGGTATGGATGTTGTAAATTTTTAGTGCCTTTGTGGCATGGGGGCACTCTGAATACATGGCATGTCGAAAGTCCTTCCCCGAAAACTCTCTCGAGGGGTTGGTGGTAAAGAAAGAGGAGTGGGGTTTTTCACCCCCCCCCGGATGCTTTCCATAAAAACTGGGGCGGAACTGAGCGAAGTGTACTGTCACCTGTATGGTGCTCAAGGCTCTAGCCAACGACAAGCGCAATCTTGTACTCCTTGCCATGATGCATTTCGTGGGCTTGATGTTACTGTCAGACAAGTGAGATAAGTCTCATACAACACCTTTATTCTTCATCTCGCATGCTAAAATAGTCTACTTGTTCATACAGACATTTGCGTGAGCATGATACGAGGCGCGACTACTGGAGTTCTAGCTTCAATTAGCAGTAAGCCAATTTAAATAATACATAGCATTCATACAATGATAGTGTGCTACCTGAGTACGTTTATAAGAGTACTCCAAAAAGGCAGAAAACAGCTGAAAAGCATAGTATAAAATATGACAAAGCTTTTTGCAGAAAAAGGTAAAAACGGAAGTAAAGATGTAGATTGGTAAAGTAACATCGTAGTAGAACACAAATTTTTAAAAGTACTGGCAGGCAGGTATTTTTTCCATTATTATATAACCATGACGGTATGAAGGGACAAACATTACATTTATTTTATACTTTTATAAATATTTAGTATCTCTCAAAAACTTTGCTAACTTTCCAGGTGTGCATCTCTTTTATATACCTCGAAGAAAAATTTAATTTAAAACGTGAGGGAACTTTCACATTGAAAAATATTTTATAAACTAATGTTTAACAAGTCAGTTGTAGTTGTATAAATAATCAGGCACTTTCATCGGACAAATCTTAACTGAAAAGGAATGCACTGGTAAGTTCGTAATTAATATAAAATTCAATCCTCAGATATACTGGTTTCATGAAGTGTCAATATCAGATATTTATCGATACATTTTTTAAATATTTATATACAAAAACATTACTTTGAATGAATGAACTAACAATTGCTTTTTATTTTATTGAAGTAATCTAACAACATCATAAAAGTATTTCATATTTGACAGATTAAAATATTTACTTCGATGACACTTATCTTTTTTGTGTTTTAGGATTGTTCCAGAATCTCCCCGCTGGCTGTTGTCGAAGGGTAAACTAGACAAAGCAATTCCTATATTAGAGCTTGCAGCAAAAATGAACAAAAAGGATGTAAAGGACCTTGAAACTCAAGCTAAAAAGATCTGTTTCCTAGAAAATGAAGTACATAAACAGTCTGTTATAAGTTTAAATTCAAATATCTAAAAATTTATTTTAGGTCAGACCTTGATTCATTAAATGTACAGCAAAATACTTTACGTCTGAAACATGGGATCAATTTCTATAAGGCTCATTATCTCTAATAGATGTGCTCCTTTCAGTATCTTATAACAAAACATAAACTTTATAATGATTCCTCATGCAACAAAAGTGTTATTTTCCTTTCTCATACTTTGTGATTTTTTTGTACATGTATACTATAAAGGAGACAAGCATAATCGTGCAAATCTTTTTTATAATATTCTATAAGCATTTTTAAAAGTCGAACAATCGAAACTTCGAGTCAACTTCGACATCTTTAAAGATTCCAGATTAAGAAACTCAAATTTCTGCGACTTTCTTGTCACATGAATCTTTCAAATCCTAAAGTAACAAACAGTTAAGCGTTTTAAGGTTTAGAAAGCATATTTTTATTGAGGTCTAATAGAAGCGTTCATTTTTGAAGAGAAGAAATGAAATGCAGAGTTAATGAGAAAAAATCTAATGCATATCAATAATGTTGTATCAGTTTAAAAATGCTCATTGAAACTATTTCCTTCAATGGATAACAAGGAAATTAAGAATTTATATCTTTATGTTTTGCTGCTGCTTGGTTTGCATTGATATATGAAATATTTCTTCCTGTTTCATAATATTCTTTACTATAGTGTAAGGAAAGTATTTTTCATGCTAAATAAAAGTGATAAATTTTGTATTGACTGGATGATGTAAACTTATAGATGGGGTGCAGACTGATACGAATACCTGCGAAAACGTATGCTGCATTTCCCGCTTGCAAAGAAATTTATAGCCTGTTGATAGTGAAGGAAAGTTGTCAGTGGCTCAACAACTCTCACAGATGTTGCATGCGGCCATCATACTCTCTAAGGGATGCTAAAATGTCTAACCTGGCAGATTCCTAAAGAGCCATGATAGTTAGAAAGAGTTTACCTGGAGCCTCATATATGAAAACAGCAAAACGTTCAGCTATTACGGCAAAGTACGGGATAAATAGTAAAATGGCTTCTTCAAAGCACAAAATGGACAAAAGGCAAAGCTGACTGATAAGGAAGCTGGATGTTGAAGATCATAGTGACTCTAAAGTCGTTGTGCCATATAAAATCCAAAATGAATACTTATCTCTATTACTCCGTTTCAAACTAAACTGTCAAAATGGAAACTCATTTCTGCAAACATTAATAGTAGAATAGCAATTCTTAAACCATTGAGAATATCACGTAATTCTTTCAAGCGACTTAAGTGATACAGAGCTTATCAAGGCTGGACCCACAGCAATGGCAGCAAGTCTTCTGGTCTGATGAATTAACATTCAACTTATTCCTGACCATCGGACGCATTTGTATCTAAAGAATGACTAGAGAATTGTTGACATCTACGGGCCTGTTGCTGGCTGTGAGATATGGAGGTGGCTCCCTGTTGTGTTGGAAGCAATATCTTAGACACACTTGTTATTCTTAACGAGAAGACCAAAGCCGATCACTTTCGAAGCATCCTCGTGGATAATGAATGACCATCCTTTTGCCCACACTTTATTCCCTGATGAGCGACCGCATTTTCAAAGCGAGAATGTTTCTATCCATACGGCTAAGTGTATTCAAGCATGGTTCAAAGAACATGACAATGAAGTAGGATATTTCACCTAGTCACCTGAGTTTCCTGATTTAAAACTTGTAAAACGCTTGTGGAGATATTTGGAGTCCAAACAACTTGCTCGAATTCCGCCTTCAGCTACACTTTGTTATAAGATAACTCTATGCAGGAGGAATCAGGATATGCAGGATTCCTAATCCCTTAAATGTCGTACAAAACCTCTCTGTGTCCGTCCCAAATTGCACACAGTGCGTACTTCAGTCGAAAGGTAGCCCTTCCTCCTATAAATAAAGATTTTTGTTTTTTAATTTAACTGTCGTTTGTATGATTTTGCACCCCATCTGTACGTGTTTAGCTGCTAATAGAGCATCTTTCATCCAGACTGTAAATTTGAAGCTGCTGCACTCCACCCATTCTTTTTACTTTCAATGTAAGAAGAATGAGCTAGATGCAGGAGTAATTTATACTATACATTGTAGTAACTTATACTATACATTAGTAACATTGCAGAGACATTAGGTATATTTTTGGAAGTAGGAGAATTGAAAAATTAGCAACCTCCTTCTCCGGGAATCGAACCACGGACCTCTGAAATACCGGCTCAATGTGCTAATCACTACACCACGAAGGCACGCTAGGAAGACGAGAGAAATACCGTATAACATAAATTATTTATCATAGGAATTCTGAGTTCATTCGGGAAAATTTAACCCATAGTCATATAAAAGAAAACATGGCGTATAAAGGAAACGTCATATAAACGAAAACGTAATTTATGACATGGTCTCCTTCAAAAGTCACTGTTCTTAAACAGTGTTATTTCATAAATTGTAGTTCTTCTACGTTTAGAAGTGGTATTTTAATGACCTTCGGTATTCTCCATAGCTGGAGAATTAGCACAACACATTTTGGAATAAATTTCTTTTTCCGAATACTGATAAAGGCAACGACAGAATATTTCCCTCACCAAGGCAGTTTTTAACTTTGTTTTCTAAAGTAATTATTTACACATAGATAGCCCTTGCGTGTTTAACTATAATGAATTAATCAGCCAGCTACAATGAATCATTCTTTATAGAACAAAATAATTTTTGACACGTTCTTAGCTTAAAAATCTGAAATTATATTCTTTCTTTTTGAGTCCTGCATATTAGTTTCTAACGTACACATCGAGTCTACAAAGTGTTAAAACTTGTACTGTATGGAACTATCGTGTTTTCCAGTGCGTGTTCGTATGGTATTCTTCCAACTAGCAAGTGGAAAATCTGCGGTTCAAATCCGAGCAGAGCACACTTCGTTTTCTGTATTTCTTGCTTTTCGAGATCTAATATACACTGAAGAGCCAAAACGTTATGATCACCTACTCAATAACGCGTTGCGGGATCTTTGGCCTGCAAAACATCGGCAAATCACCTTGGCATGGTTACCACAAGTTCTTAGTTGATGACTGGAGACAAGATGTACCGAATGTTTAAGCAGTGGTCACACAAAGTCGAGATATTCCGACATGGTGGTGTTCGAGATCTGAGCTGCCGCTCCATGACATCCTAAATGTGCTCAATCGGGTTAAGCTCCGGCAAATCAATTGGCTAGGAGTAATTGGAAATCATCTTTATGATCCTCGAACCACTCCAACACAATTCGAGCCTTGTGAAATGGGGCGTTGTCCTGCTGGAAGATTCCATTTCCAGTTAGGAAGAGAGATGCCATGTACAGATGCAACTGATCCGCAGTTATATTCAGATAGTCCGCAGCTTTCATAATCTGTTTTACCACAACTAAAGGGTGGCAGAGCCGCCCTTGAGAACGTCCCCCAAAGCATAATACCGCCAACATCAGCCTGTGTATGACTTACTGTACGGCGTGGAGCAAATGTTTGCCTGGACTACGGCGTACCCTGATACGACGACCATCGACATGACGAATGAAAAATTGTGATTCATCCCGACCAGGCAACTGTCTTCCACTTACCCTTGGTTCAGTCTTGATGTTCCGAGGCCCCACTCAGGTATAGTTAACAATGACGAATGCTCAACAGTCGCACATAAGTGGGACGTCTGCTGCGGAGTCCCATATCCAACAGTGTCTACGGAACTGTATGTTTCGAAATACTTATACTTGAACCTCCATTTTATTGGGCTGTTAGCTGAGCCACTGTCTGAGGCCGATTTTACTGTTTCAAACGGACAGTTTCCGACGTCCTTTTTCTTTGATGAAGCCTATACTTCCAGCACATTGGCGTCTACTACTGGTTTCACTGTCATATCCATTTTACATAAATACTAACAACTACAGATTGTCAACAACCTACCAGTCGTGCAGTTTCGGAGATACTCATTCCGAGTCTTTGGAGTCATTCTGAGCACAATCCACTCTGTATCAGATTAGCTTAAATCTGCAGCCTTTTCCATCATTCTCAAAAATAACTATAAGAATGATGTGTTACTTTCTTCAACACATAGAAAACATTCATAAAGAAGTTGCACAGAACTATGTAATTTTTATTAATTGTTTCATTACTAGCCAAATATGGCATCTGTTGTCTACTTTCCATGCATCAAATGAAATCTCATCTTGAAGGGCACCATTTGAAAGCATTTCAGAAGAGCAAGTTCAATGGGAATGAAAGAATATTTCAAATGAGTTCTACGAAAGCATTCGGAAACTCTATGAATGCATCCAAAGGTGCACTGGAAAATCTTAGAAGGAAAGTGTATAGAAGAGATTACAGTGATGAAGGTGTTTTTAATTTATCAAATTTTCGAAATGTATGCATTCGGTCCTAAACTTTTCTTTACTGTGTATTTATTAATTAATCCAACTGAGGATTACCATGGGCTGTACGATTTTTAAATAATTAATTTTCTAATTTAATAACAGAATTTGATCTTTAAAACAATTTAACAAACTAAGGTGTACTAATTTAGAAGTCACACAACAAAAACCAGCGTTATATTTTCAAATGTTCACAATTGAATCTGCGAAAATTTGAAAATATAACGCTGATTTTTGTTGTTTGACTTCTAAATTAGTACTTGTTCAGCGTGTAATTGTATCGTAAAACTAAGGTGTGATTGAAAGCAGAGTTTTTAGAGTCCTTAGCTTAGACCAAAGCAGAAGGCATAAAAAATGTGCATTGCCGTCACGGGGATTAGAACTCAAGATCTCTCGACTGCTAGTCGGACATACTTCCAATTACACTAGGAAGATATATAGTAGGGAATGAGAGAATAGCTTACAAGTTCGTTGCAAAGGCAAAAATAAGTAATTAGTTAAACTATGCGTTGAATGTTTTTTCAAACAAAGATTTATTTATTTATTTTTATTTTTTTTTATTTTTTATTTTTTATTTTTTTTTTTTTTCATTTTATAAAAGTAATAGTCATTGATTTTTGCAATTTTAGATATTTTTAGTGCAATTCTTCTATAACTTCTAGATATTTTTCTAAATGCTGTACCAAAGTGGTATTAAAAATTATTACCACAAATAGTATTGAAAGTACAGGATCTTTCAGTATGAGGAATACAAATATGTAGGAGGTGTGTGGCGTATTCAAACGACTCGAAATCTTATAGGAAATGGTCACATATGCATGCATTAGTGTATATATAAAGCATCTTGATGAAATAACAGGAAGTATGGGAATATACATTTCAGTAATATGTGTATACGTAGGCTGTCTGAAAAGTTTCCGACCTTATAAAGAGAAAAGATGTTTTTTCTACAAAATTACCTGTATTTTTCGACATAGTATCTTTCTAAGTCGATACATTTCTTCCAGCGATGCTCCCCTCTTTTCGACCCGCCCAAATAATATGTGGAATATTTCTCTGTAACGTCTCATTTGACGAAAATCTAGCTTAGGGAACAAAGAAAAGTCACATGGTTCCGGGTCTAGCGAATAGGACGGGTCGCCAAGCAGTTTGTAGAGTTATGTCGAGGAACCTCGTGAACTGTTAAGCGAATTATCGCTTAGTTCAATAACAGAATTCGTAAACTGAAGAAGGGTTAATCACTCTCTTTATTCACCAAAAAATAAGATGAACAGTCGGCCCCTTTCTTTGGGCTTAAACTCAAAAATAAGAACTATGACAAACTAAGGGATTTAGCCGAAGCTAACACAATTTTAACGTAGTTGGCCCGTAATCTAAACTAGCCGGTGAACTATCAAAACGCATATAATATACGGCTATGTGTAACAGCAACTAGAGACTTAGTTCAAAGGCAAACGCACGCTACTCAGTATTCTTAGCTTTCTCTCTCCAAGTAAGTTGAATTTTCCTTTAATACTATTTTTACTCATTTGCATTCGACGCGATTCTAAAACCTCATTCCGGTAGGGAGTGTAAGTTAAAAAGATGCAAGATAGGAACGCACAATTAAATTAAAATAACTGTTATAAAAATTAAAAGTATACGTTACAAATTCAAATCGTAATTCATGGATTTTCTCCATTGCAAGCGCTGAGATGTGAGATGGAGCATTGTCTTGGAGAAACATTTTTTTTCTCTTGAAAATGTGGCAGTTTTTCCGCATTTTCTGCCTTTAGCTTGTCAAGTAACGTTGCACAGTATGCTCCGGTAATTGGTTTTTCCCTTTTTAAGATAATCTATTGAGACAATCCCATGGCTGTCCCAGAAAACTGTTGCCATCACTTTCCCTGCAGAAGGAACAGTTTTTGCCAATTTTGGGAGCTGATTCTCCCTTTTCAGTCCCCTGTTTTGCCTGTGGTTTTGTTTCTGGGCTGTAATGATGAACCCAGATTTCATCTACAGCGATTAATAGTAAAAAAAACTCCGATTTATTGCACCTAATAGAAAGGTGGAATTGCTCATTCGGACATGTTTTAGGTCCAAAGTGATCAAACGCGGCACCCAATGTGTTGCGAGCTTGCGCATAGAAAAATCTTAGTTCAATATGTGGCAAATACGTTCTTTAGACACCCTAATAATCTCTGCTATCTTTGTAACCTTGATTCGTTGGTCGTCAGCACCGTTTGGTAGATTTTAGTGATGTTTTTCTCAGTGGTTGCAGTTTTTGGCCGTCCTGAATGTTCATCGTCATTCAGTCTGGTACGGCCACGTTTAAATTCAGCTGAACAAGTGTCCTCCACAAGCAGGCCTCACATCCTCGGCGTATGGAATTCCAAACGTTCTGTAAAATTCCTGGCTTGAATCGAACTTGCCCAGCAGTTACTGCAATGCGTTTAAGTAGTTCCTCTCCGCTGTCAATGGAGGTGTCATATAGTATTGTTTTCATGTGTCCCCAGAAGAAGTAATGAAGGCATAATAGGGTTAGCGATCGAGCAAGTTAATGCACCGGACAATTACGTCCGATCCATTGTTGGCCCAATATAAGGTCTAAACGTCCCCGCTTACCATATGAATATCAACTAAGTCCACGTTCCTATAGCGCGGTCCTATCCGTGTTCTGCATCCGTGTTATAAATGATCCTTTCCTGTGAAATTTCTCGGACCAGTACATCTACCATGTCAGGAAAGCATATCCAACCCATCACTGCTCTTTGATTCTGAGACGTTCGGGTGCATCTCACTCCTTTTACAAGTTTGTAACATTGAACTCAGAGACTCCCTGCATTTACAACTTAGGCAGTATGAATACGTAGAATGTTAACATTTTTTTTCTTCTAGGAAGGAAACAAAGCATCTAAAGCATCTGTTTTGGACCTCTTGCGCACACCCAATTTAAGGATGAAAACTTTAATTTTGTACTTCGTGTGGTAAGAAACTTTCTTTACTATAAGAATATGATTCTTTCGGAGGAATATCCTGCATCATAAGCCTAAATATATGTCTGCTATGTGACACTGAAAAATTATTAAAATTAATTGAAATCATTTTTAAATTAGGATGCTGATGTAAACGAGTCAGAATTAAAATAATAGGCACAAACTGCATAATATACTAAACCGAACTGGATGGATTTTAATTGAATGTTTTTCAGAAACGCGCATAACACGGAAGACCACTACGGCTATGAAAAATTAAAACGGAAAATTTAATTTGTGTGGCACAAATATCTTGAAAGATACTTAAAATATGATGTAATAGATTTTTCAGAAAGAGGAATGTGATATATAGAGACCTGATTTTCCAAAGACTTGACAGTTCCAGCGACTTCTAAATTAAACACAATTTCGCATAAATTTTTATTCTTCTACAATAAACGTAACACAGTTAGTCAAGAATTTTTTTTTTCAATTCTACTTCTTACTGCAGAAAAACATTCAAACGACAGCCACTCTACGTTTCGAAACGACTTTGGTCTTCTGTGGAGGTGGTCGTTACAGAAATCATAACTAAGGTGATGTTAAATAACAATATTTATTTATAAAATTAAAGGCTACTTTTAGAGATGGTCGTGTGCGGAAAATTGCCGAAGTGAGAGATTTTAATATATTTGTAATGGAAATCCACGCTCAGCCTGCAACAGTAGTTTTCAATAAATAAAGCTCAGTTACTGGCATTACAGTTGTGAAACAGAATTTTTCTGAAGAAAGCAGAAGTTTATGTCTATCTCCCTCAATTTCAGTCTGGCAGTTGAATATTTTTTAACTTTTCATCTGTTACACCTTTTTCTAAACATACTATTTTGTTGAACATTTTATAATTAGACAACTCTTCTTCATCAAAACTTTTTACCTTCCAATAGTTAAGCTTGCTCACGTTTTCTTCGTTCTACAATATTTCTAAGAGATGGCGTATTTAAAATTATGCAAATACTTTACTTTCATTCCCATTTTTTCAAGCATGAAACGCGTTGGAATTCAAATCCATAAATTATTTCATAAACTTACATGTCCTCCTTTGATGGGAAGGGATCTCGAGAGTGTGTGTATCTAAAAGTTCTAATCTTATTTGCTTTTTAAGTCTAATCTTATTTGGACCACGAAAATATTACCCAAAAGATGGTCCCAAAGTAATAGAAATACTTAAATAATTTGAAAAGTATGGATAGTAGCATGATTCGATTTTTACAGAAATGTGTAGAAATTCGTGGTACTTTTTTTTAATAATAAAAGATTTTATTTTAAAATAGTCACCATATTTTTAACCGACAGTTGGTACTTCAGTAGTGTTAAGTTTGAAAGGTGTTTTCGAAAATGGTTGTCCCGGCATGGCATGACACTCTGAACAGCATTGAAAGGAGTTCAGTTGTAATTCCTGTCACATGAAAGTAAATAACGTGCTTCAGTATGACCAATAACGTCAAATAACCTCTATATTTCTCTAACTTGAAAGGTACCTATTCTGACAAAAACATTTTTCGTTATTACGAGTAAATCAAATTTCATTCCTTTCGACGCATTTCTGTGAAAACGCATCGTCTTATTGCTATACTTTTCGAACTAGTGAATTTTTACTTCTTTTTCTGTTATTTTTGAATCATCTGCATTTTCAGGGCATTATGGAGAGGTATTAACAAAATACACACCAACTACTTACAAAATCTGAGATATATCCTGAAGCAAAACTCTGTCCTAAAATCCAGGACAGTTAGCACATTTGGACGAGTGGCCATTTCGGCTAATAGGAAGAATGTCCACTTCCACTAGCCATTCATCCTTAACAGCGAGATCTCATGAAAAGTAAGATTAAAAACACATTCTATTCCAGAAAAAAGTATTTTAATTCTCGAAGACTCAGAAATGACAGTAGCATGCTCCAGAGGCTATCTACCGAAGATATCATTCGTGTTATGTAGGCTGGGTTTAGTCTAGAGATCTTCTGGCTGATATTTATCTCCGTAGAATGCTCTTCTATTCAAAGAAGTCCAGGTCTAGCAGAGCTATGCGTGTAAAAGCGGGGTCGTCCACGAAAATGAAATGGAGCCCAATAGCATTTCACAGAAGACGTAAAGGACGAGTAACAACATGATACTACTCACATTAAAAAACTTAATACTAAAATTCCTGCTCTGTTATAGGAGTTACTCTCCCTTAGGTTTGAAGGATGACAGCATGTCCCAAGATAAAATTATATTGATGAGCAGGTACGCTATTGATTTTCAGGCGTAATACTTTTTATGTATTACAATCTACACCAAATTTCTCTCAAGATATTGCTACGAAGGTAACAGCAAACCCAACAGATAAATTATCTGGTTATCGGCTGCCAATGATGTTGTATATTTAAAACCATTTCACGGTCTTGGCTAAAGTCTTTCCTCTTGGATGATCTCTGCCTGATCATTTAGGAATGTCACTTATTTTTTTAACTGTTTTCATAACATACATACCACCTGTTAGGAGGCCTGCATCTATGAGGACATCTCTATTTAGCTCTGGCCAACCTTAAGTCGGTATATGCCCCCTTTATCTTAGTCAATAATTTAAATCATTGATGGATTATTAAATTTGATCGATTACACTGAACAACCAATTTGAAATTTTGTCGTTGTCCTTGTTTATAAAATGCATTTTATATGGAAATTTTGGTACTAAATATGAAAACTACAATGAAATTCAAATACGATTTTTATTAAATCTTTAAAAACATTTTTAAATACACATTATTTATAAAAAAATATTTGGAAGTGCTTTTCTAACATTAAACCACCAGCTGAGTTGATGTACCGCCTGCTATGTGACTATCAGCATTTGTACTCAATTGGTGGAGCATTCTATTGTCGCTAGTCCTAGCCAAAAATCTCTATAGAATATTAAAATTTGTAGCGGAATTTATAACGTTACTTCGGAAAATGCGTATTTGCGACCTGTGGTTACCCTGCCAAGACTTTGACTGTGCTGTATGATGATTTTAGCAATGTTTTATGCATTGTAATTCTAAGTTTACAGAGAATGTTTTATCTAGAAGTTAAGGGTAACTTGGATATAAGAAGTTATTCTGATCTATTTATACTGAACAATATCAAATGGGTATATTAATGTACATCATATGTACTGTTCGCATATTTGCAGAGTTTCTGTGTAATATTTTCTTGTAATATTCATGGTAATCACTTGTGTTATTCACTTATTTACGTTTCGCTTACAATTCACTTATGTAAAGTCTGCCTGATAACTGAAAGTGAACACTGAGAAATACAAATCAGTCAGCAGAGTTGGACATTTATGGGTTCATCGAAACACATGTGCGGTTCAGTTATACACAAGACACCAATTTATATCTCCTTGGCATTTTGTACCGGTTACTGTTACAGAACGCTTAAGGATGAGACTAGAAAGATGATACACTACATCTAGAGTATCTCTAACAAGCGTCCAACAATAATCAGCACGCATGGAAGGTCCCCTCCGTTTCCTTGATATCTTATTCCATCTCTGCAATGTCTTGGTGAGAGTACTCACCGTGTTTATCGCTAACCGCACCGCAGTTATGTGGGAAAACTTCTAGATGGGAATCAAGGAAATGTATTTTCAAAGACATATTTCAATCTAGTTTCTTATGCGATAACAACAGTTCCTCCAAAAGGTCAGTGTAGTTTTCGGACCTCTTATTTTCTAGGAAGTAGCTACTTGTCGAAAATTTATCCAAGCATTCTTCTTGTCACCTGTTAAGATATTTTCAAAATATTCATATTCCTCGTTGAAGAGATTTCCTATCTGTGGCCTAACAAAAATGTCTTCCTTTACTTTTGCTTCACTTAGCCAATGAAATTCCCTCTAAGATAGTGAAATGCCGGGCCATTTTTATCCATCGCTTTCATAAAAATTGGACATTAGCCCTAATTTTACGTATAGTGATGGTAGCAATATCTTCGTTGTGTCAATCAGTGGTTTACACTGCACGTACTTTTCTCCTGGTTCCAAGGAATGTCTAGCAGGCCATTCTTTCTTTTTTAAAATCGTCTGTCCTTTCTTGACTATCCCATTCACCCCTCCCCCCCCAAAAAAAACAGCAGAATTTCATGTATCCTTGCTGCAAACATAGTAAAAGAGCGACTACTTTGAAATCTGCACGTACTTGTTATTTACAGTGCTCGTATTCGATGCACTTTAGGAGATCGTTCGAACTTTGTACGATTCCTTCATGTGAACAGCGTGGCCAAAAGGAATCGGCGGTAAATTATTTCCGATATGTAGCAGAACAGATTTTAAGTTTAATAGCCCATATAATATATATTTCTCGTGTGGATTGGTGCGTGAGGAGAGGGGTGGCAGACCCCCGGATCCCTCCCGGGATTCTCTCCCTCAAAATTGGGGGTGGAAAATAGAAGTCCAACCTCTCTTCGAAGTAGGCTCTGGCAACCATTGTTCCATGTAATATGGACAAAACAACAACAATATATATATATATATCAAATTCAAATCATCTTTCGGCAATATCAAATTTAAAAAGACTAAATTCTAAATTACGACATCTCCGCGCATTTAATAAATGAATGGAAGATAGCTTGAAAAGAAAAAAGAAACAGAAGCAAACACTTTTATTTCATCTCATGTAAAAAATATAAACCTTCCTTTAATTAGGAAACCTTGTGTAGCAGTGCTTATATGCATTTTCTAAAATTTTATTGCAGAGTATGTTTCCTTTCCCTCTTTTAAATCAGAAAAAACATGTTTATTATTACCAAAAATATTGCAAAATTCTGAATTAATAAACATTTCCTTATTTTTTTAATTATACCCTTAAATTGCTCTGATATTGTTTAATTAGTTTAATTTGTATGTACTTGATTATTTCATTTATTTATTACTGTTTATAGAATTGCTATTCATATATTTTTTTCCTGCATGGTTTTTGTTATTAAAATTGTAAATTATTTTTTCTTTGTTTTTGACAAATAACGAAATCTAACCCTTAATGCGGCCTCCCGGTTCCTGTACTTATATCCGGGAAAGTTCTATGTTCGTTATGAAAAAAAAAAAAAAAAAAAAAAAAAAAAAAAAAAAAAAAAATTAAAAGAAGTTTGACTTCTCTACGAAAACATTTACCGGGATATTTAATTTTAAAATTTGCAATTTTTGGTGTCATTTTCAACATGCATTGAGGAATCGGTTATTCAAATTGGAATAATTCGAAAAATAAGTTTAAATTAAATGCATAAAAAATACGTATAATTTAATAGTCTGTATAAGGAAGTCATGTGGTATCCACATGAGATTTATTTTGGCTCCGCATTCAGAAATGAGATTATTATGGTAGTCTTGGATGCAACTTTCTGAATTCTTGATGTGGGAAATCGTGGACCTACCCATAACAATGGCCTTCCCTGTAACATTCCGCTTATACCTTTCTTAAGAGTTTTAAAAATTTATAACATCTGTTTACAGTTTATCTTGAACAGACAAAACATGCTGCTTACGCTTAAACAATACGACTGAAATTTTCGCGAAAAATGACCTATAAATGCATGCGTGCTCGCATGTGGAAGTCGATTTCTGTAGTAACAGGGAAGTTACTTCTCAGTTATATCACTGTAATCTTCTTAGTTATAGTATGGTAATCAAAGCAGGAAGAACATAATTTTATGATGGTTAATTCCATGTAAAATCGGTCACACGTATATATCTGCATATATATTAATTTGCATAGTGCACTGTGCAAAAGAAACGTGTATTCTTTAGTAAACTTTTATTTTGACTTCAAAACCCAACCAAACGCGTTGCTGTGACTTTGCAGTCTTAAAATACCACTTGACACTAATCCTACAAAATTATTATTTTCCAATTTTATTCAGTTCAAGTAAATGAGTTTCTGCTATTTTAATGTAATTGAATAAAAATATGAGAGGTGTATTGGCCTATCTGGATGGATTGGCCTAACGGATACGGTCTGCTGTTCTCAATCTGTCCATCGGTGATCAAATTTCATTTGTCTGACCACAATCATTTTTCTACACAAGGAAACTACAGATTTGAAACAAATGAGTTCTGTGATTGATTCGTAAATTGCCAAGTTTCCATCATTTCACGTCAAACAGGTACGCGAATTACATCCGTCATTAAAATTTTACGCAGCTCCCAGATTTCAGAATTCTTTTTTGGGGTTTTGGGGAGTTTGGGTTTGGAGGGGGGGGATGGTATCTGCTAAATTAATTTTCGACAACAGCGTTAAATTTCGACAGCAGCGTATTAGTTGCTAATGAACTGAAGGTGATGAAAAAAAAAGAGAAGAAAATTTCAGAGGATATACTTTCAATATCTTTTATACGCACTACGAGTGGCCCCGGTTATTCACACAACGCTGCCATTTTCCTTCCAAAACGCAAAATTCCGCATAGAAGGACGGCTTTCCAATTCTTTACATGCGAAAATTTCTGCTAGCTCTTGATATGTCAGATTTCAGGTTGGATGTACATTGGAAGAAAGGGGTCAAAGTACAAAGTGGTATAATTTTGGAATTATAATCAAGAAGATGCCACTTTTTCATGACAGTTTGGGGAACTTGAAATTTCAGAAACTCGTTTCACTCGAAAGATTAGAGTACTGGCAAATTTCTTCTTTTGCAAAGTCTGTTTGTTACTAACAGAAAAATATGCTTATCAAAAGGTCCAGCGCACCCGTAGCGTATACGTACTAAAGCAGAAAAGCTTTATTGGTAGCAAAATGAAAACAAATTTTATTCAATAAAATGTAAAATAAATTGTCAAGGAAATATAAAATTTATAAAACAATGTTACCATTAATGTGTTCTTTTTATTTAATAGGATGACAATTGCTTTTACATATTACGGATTGTCTCTGAATACGAATGCTTTACAAGGAAATGACTATCTAAATTTCTTCCTCTCGGGCCTCATGGAAATTCCAGCAACAATATTCTGTATGCTAACACTGGATCGCTTTGGCAGGAAGAAACCTTTTATATTCACTTTAATGGTCGGAGGATTATCCTGTTTTGGATTCGTTTTTGTCCCTGAAAGTAAGATTTATTTTCATTATAAGAATTCTGTAATAACAGGCAATACCTCCTCACCGGAAGTAGGATAAATAAAATAAAACGAAAATTTATTTTACGCAGATTAATTTCATGTAACTTTAAATTATTTATAGGCTTAGAATGTTTTATTAGGATATTTGTTGCCAATCCGTGATATTTATTTTGCTAACCGGTTCTGGTTTTAAGCTCACTATTGGATCCTTTCCTCAAATTTTACACGACGGCGTTTCCAAATATATGCGAGTTATAGAATACAAAATATCCCATAATTACTGAATATGACAGCCAACATCACTGAGCACTACTTGTAGTCGCATATAGATTTATGAACAACAGAAACAACATTATCTACCAATATACGACATCACAAATTTCATATTGCCACTGACTTAACTCTGATATTGTCACTTTGTCACTGAATTCTCGGTTTATAAAATTTCTAGCAGCTAAGCTGGTTTCCTCTACTAGCATTTTATACTACGAAAACGAACTTGAACATTAGTAATCTTAGCACTGTAATAAAGTAGTAAACTGCAAAAAGGTGAAATGAGTGAGGATTATAGAGTAACCTCATTATAATTTCATGCCGGATTTCAAATCTGTATGATTTTGTGGAAAATGCCTCATAAAAAATTTACCGTGCAAACTTACACACTAAGTTCCAATCAAGTTTAAAATTGAGTAATTAATGATATATGGGTTATTCAATTTTCATGATTTATTAATCTTAACTGTTCCGTGATGGCTAATTTTAGATCATGATTTATCCGAGAAAGATTTCGTAATTAATTTCGGACAGATGAAACAAACCAACTTCTCTATCATTCGAGCAAGATCAAAGTGAATAATTATATTACACTGAAAAATCCAACTTTAAGATGTTTTCTCGATATTCCCGGGCGCGGAGATTCTAATTCTAAATTACGACATCTCCGCGCATTTAATAAATGAATGGAAGATAGCTTGAAAGAAAAGAAACAGAAGCAAACACTTTTATTTCATCTCATGTAAAAATATAAACCTTCCTTTAATTAGGAAACCTTGTGTAGCAGTGCTTATATGCATTTTCTAAATTTTATTGCAGAGTATGTTTCCTTTCCCTCTTTTAAATCAGAAAAACATGTTTATTATTACCAAAAATATTGCAAAATTCTGAATTAATAAACATTTCCTTATTTTTTAATTATACCCTTAAATTGCTCTGATATTGTTTAATTAGTTTAATTTGTATGTACTTGATTATTTCATTTATTTATTACTGTTTATAGAATTGCTATTCATATATTTTTTCCTGCATGGTTTTTGTTATTAAAATTGTAAATTATTTTTTCTTTGTTTACGATGAATGCAATTAACTTTTTCCTTCTTTTAGGAAGGAAAAAATGCTATAACCGTTTAACCAAGCCAAGAACTTTTTATTTCAAAATGCCATCAAAATTTCCACGTAAATTTTCCGTATAAGAGTATAATGTTTTCTGGATGTTATTCATCCTGAAAATTAATTAAAAATTAGTCAAAGCTAGTATAACAAATTGAAGATTATCTTTGTAGGAATCTTTATAGGAATGTATCTTTGAAGAAAGGGCACGATTGTTTTTATTTTTTAATCTTTAGAACATTTTGAATAAAACTGAAAATAAATGTAGTATCATTCCATGCTTGTAATATGTATATTCCAAATTTTTAAACATTATTGTTGAGAATTTAAAATAAAAGAAAATTAAATAATGATAAATAAATTAACACAAATAAAAATCGTTGATAAAAGAATCAATTATGTTAATTTGATGTTTTAAAATCATAATAAAATACTAAACATTTATTAATAATTTTTTATTTGAATTTGTAATATTTAAAATTTGTAATTAAATTGTTTTGCGTTCATTCGACAAATGACAACACTATCGAATTAATTGTATCACCGGCAAAAAATAATGTTGCAAAATATATTTGGTAGATGGCAGCACCATGCAGATAATTTTTTCACCGTAGAGGCCTTCCAATTTCCATTCTCTCTTACACTGGATTAAATTAAGCGCGCCCTCTTAAATTACAGATGTAATATATAGAAAGATGAAGTTTTATACTATTTAAGAAATTTATTTCAAAAATTTATTCTAAAATAAATAATACATACGATACAAAATTAAAAATTTTACAAAGCTTGCGAAGGACTCTCTTTTTTAGCGAGAAGTCAGAAGGAATGAATTTTCTCTGAAAACTTTCCACCATTTAATCAATTTATGTAAAATAGTATTGCTACATTAGTTTACTTTTGCAATTTAAACTGTGTGGCTATCTTGAATACTTTTTACAACCTATAACTGCTTACTTTCGTCATATGGTATGTAGATATCGTCGCAGGTCTATGTGAATAGAATCCTCATTTTACTCTTTTTCTATACATTTATAGTAGTTTTGCAGTTTTATCCAAAACACTGATCGTATTAACTTTGATTCTGAATAGCAGATGTACATAATAGCTATTTTCATTCATTTTCACTTCAATGGACAGATTTTTAGATTATCAAATGTTACATATATTCAAAATAATATTGACTTCTGAATTGATAACTTTTTTATTCTGTCGACGACAGTATATTAATTTTCAGCACCTGCAGGCAAAATTGCAGTATAACAGAACTGGATGCAATACCTGCTCTAACTTGATCACTGTTATTTATGAGATAAATTTCTTTTCATCAGTGTCTCTTTTTATTTTGACAGAGGAAAAGAAAAGTGAAAGTGCATGAAAAATGAAACTAAAGCTACATCGTTAATTCTGATTCCTTAGATGAAAACTAACTCTACTTTAGTTAAGACTTAACTGCGTTAACTCAGCCCATTGCCAAGTACTTGTGATACGGAAATAGCAAAATAAAGGTAACAGAGAAAAAAGAAATGGAGGCACTATCAAAGAAGTGGGGAGAGTTACAGGATATGACTTAAGCAAAAGACAGGATACGGGAAAAAGAAGCACATAATCGCAAAAGGAATTTGGGAAAGCGATGATCTTTTGAATTAAATAGGACCTCATCTCCTTACGAAAGTAACATGCGCATTTCTTTCAACTCTTAAAAAGGATAAAGCACTAGCTTTACCAAACTATCGTTACTGGAAGAAAACGACGTCGTGCAGTTTAACATTAAACAAATGAAGACATTAAATGTACAATCAGAAAAAATGAGCAAGAAATTATAGCTTACTGTTGTGTCATTGGAGGTTCATTCCACATTTATCAAAGCTCTACTGTTAGGATGAATACAGCGGAAGCTGTAATGCTTAACTCGAAACTTTGGTGCTTGTCTACAGAAGAGCGTTAGAACTCGGAATAGACTGACAAATTTAAAGAAGGAACAAATTAGTTCCAAATTGAAAGGTAATAATTTTAGTTTCTGAAAGCTGAAAGTTGTGGCTCCAAACAGATACTCTTGAAAACTTCGCTTCCATTTTCTTAACATATCGAATGGGCTCCTTTATCTTGAATTTTAAAGATCTACTCCCTGTCCTCTGTATACAAGGCGGCCATCACAAAAAAATTTATAAATACCTCATCAATTAAGGTTAGGTATTTCGTCTTTTACAATGAGAACTTGATTTTATTGACAAGTTTAAATGAAACTGGGAAACAATTCTTTTTCAAAACCTCAAGTTTTGAAGACTTGAGGAGGAGAGGAAAATCTGTGAAGTTTCTTGCATATAATGATAATGAAAGCAGAAGGATAACTATGAGAAACACAGCAGTATGTTTCAGAGTGTTAAATTCTTATGTCAAACTAATAGGAATAGAGCATAAACTAATCGTATGATGAACGGAAGTAAAATGCCGCATTTAGTTTTCAACATTTACCTGAATACATATAAATATGTATAAACATTTTAATTAATTTTAATAAATTACCTAATACTTGCGCTAAAGCTGCAAAGTAATAAAATAATAATTTATTTTCTAATAGATTAATTAGTATATTATCTCCTCGGACAAAAGTAGTTAGAATTCTACTGAAGTTATGTAACTCATTGGCATATTTAAAAATTGAATTTTGAATAAATTTAAAATGGAAATATTAAAAGGGTATAGTTAAAAGTGAAAATGTAATCAATTAATCAATAAACTAAGTAATTATCGTCATTGACCGGAAAGGAGTTGACTTTTCAAAGGGAACAAACTAACTTCCGATCCATTAACAATAATTAATAAAATCGAAAGTATTTCGTCTTTTTTTTCAAGTAAGAATTATAACAAAAACGCTTTTTAATAAGATGAGTTGAAGTTAACTAAGTTGATTTTAAGTGAGATGAGTTCGGCTGCCAAGTTTCCAGTTCATGGATCAACAAGTGCAGTATAAATATTCCTACATCATTACATCTAAGTCTCTTATATATATAATTAAATTTAAACTAAAGGCAAATTTACAAATCATATTTAGGTGCAGGAAAGTAGTGATTAAAAAAATTAATGAAAAACGGCGCAAATAATCACTGCATAAAATTGATATAAGTCAAAATATTTTATAAATTAAATAATTTTATGATATTTAACATACATACATACCAATATACATGTATATGGTTAAACAGTATATATATATGGTTAAACAAGGGGAGCGTGTGGGAGCAAGGAGAGAGTAAACGAGTTGCAAAAAACAAGATTTGTTCGAAGTTGTTTGTCAGATTTTATAACCAGTACGTTCAAGAAGAGAAGAAAATGATGCAGTTAAGGTTAAAATATAAATTATATGTTTTCATCTAAAGCATTCAATGAGGAAAGAAAAAATTGGAAAGCAGTCAATGGGTTTTTCCAAAGATAAAATATACCGTACACATACCGCTCCCAAAAGCGCAAATCAAACATTCGTAAAATTCAACATTCAGGATAGTAGTACATGCAATGTAAATTAATTAAATGCACGTAGAATTCTTAACACAGAGTGGACTGCGCTCGGCAGGGCCTTCTGCTGCTTAGTACTTCTGTTTGTCTGTAGTAAAACTTTCCACTAAAGGTTTACGAGAAATAGAGGTTTAATATCTGATACACTAAACAAAACTATTTTAAATAGCACTCCATATTTCAGATAAAAACCTCCCTTTAATTTGGATTTCTTAGAAGATTCTGAAATTTTCCAGCATACCAGTCTCGGGAGTGTCGTAGCTTTCATTTCTTTTATATCGGAGAAGTAGAAAAAGCCTATTTCGAGCTCCCAAGCTCTTTCCTTTCAGCCAAGCATTACAGCTTCTACAAACTTCTATCAACAGCAACGTAATCATAATTTACAATTAATCCCAAAATAAAACTGCAGCCAGCGGTAATTTCCTCTTGTTTGTGGTAATTTTACTTTCAACTTTTTCATCTGTTTATTAAAAAAAGTGTTCTAAAAATATTGAAGTTATAGGCCAAATGCGAAAAGCTAGTAATTAAAAATCAGTGTTCATTTTTAAGATTTGTAACTTATAGAATTGATAAATTGCGTACTAGATTCTAAATTGAACAACAGTTTTTGGACCACAATGTTACATGAAATAAAGCTTCATTCCCTCATTTGCTATCCAACGGCATCTGAGTAATCTTAGCTCTGCCCATTGTTTTTTTAACTAGGTAAAACCAAAGCCCCAGTTAAATTTACATAATTTGCAGAGGCTCGAAATTTATCTGACAACAAATTTCGCTATACAACTTCTTAGTATGGGAAGGAAGTAAATTATAATAATAATTCCAAGATAACTAAAATATTTGCTGAAATACTTATGCATCTAATGCCTAAATTAAAAATTAAAAAAGTTGAACAGGGTCATGATAGAATTTTGTTCAATTAAAGGAAGTAAATTATAATCTAACACCATTAAAAATTTCAAAAAATTGCTAAACATTAAGTAAATGTAGACATCAAGAAATTTTTTAAAATGTTTCCATAACATATATATAATATATTAAAAATACCTTTTACTAATTACAGTGCGTTAAAAATATACCTTTTACTAATTATAATAAAGCTGCAAGTATTCATAAAAGTATAAATTTAATACGTTATAAATAATATGTATTTTATTTTGTATCAATCAGGTATAATATTCAAAATATATATAATAAAAAAATTATGTTTTTAAAAAGAGGCTTTGAATTGGACTTTTTTTAATTATAAAAAAGCCCAATAGGTCTATTTACTAGACGAAAAGAATATCCTCATAGAGGTTTGCTACGAGAGGCTTTCACATTACATAACGAAAAAAAACACGAAACCCTCTTGGAGCCAGTCCGTTCCACTCTCGAAGTTGAAGCTGGAACGGGACTGAGGGGCTGAAATAATTTAGATACATGATCATAATCAGTACTGATCCATTTCTTCAACCAAACCATAAGCGTGTCTCATTTAACATATTTTGTTTGAATTGCGCTGATGATATCACCTTTGCCCTCATAATGTTATTCACTCTGAGAAGATTTTATTTTTGGCAAAGACCAGAAAAGAATTCCAGAAGAGTAAGGTGTATGAACCAGGTTATTTCTCCAAGGCTTAACAGATACTATAATTTTGATCACAAATATTTCGACTCCTCGAACTTCCGACTTAGCTATTTTGATGATACCGACTACTCGAAGTGAATATGAGATTTGAGACTTTACGTGCGCGAGTCCCATTTTTTCCATAATTTTAGTATTTACACTGAGTCAGAGAATAGAATTTTGGGATAGTTTTCTTAGTCGAATACGGCAAAGCATGCAAGGACTGTCTGATTGAGGAGGGTGCTTTCGGTAAGGATTAACTGATACAACTGAATCGTATTCATATTACGTATGGGGAATATCCCGAAAATATCTTTGCAGCCAACCCGATTTGTCGGAAGAAGAACCACCGATGTCCATTGGTCGTGTTCATTCCTCCGGCTAAAATTAAAAGGAAATAATGCAGCTCTCCATGCATGCTCTCGAGGTGTAAGTAGTAGCATGTTCAGCTGGCGGTTGGAAGATCTGTGGTTCGAATTTCGTCACGGGCATAATTGATTCCTCTTATTTCTTGGCCCTGAAAAATTATAAAAAAGACGCTAAAACGCGGGAGCTACTTTTCGGATATTTTTGGCTGAAAGATGGAGAAACGATTAATGCATTCAACACAGAAATGTAATGTTATAATTTTAGACGTCAAATCCATGAAACACTAAAGGAAACCAAAGCTCGCATAAATAAACACTGAAATTAAAATTTGAAGGACAGACTGGATTTATTTTTAAATTTTAATAGATTTCTAGCAAAGCGGCTTCCATATTTAGCAAAGATTAGGATTTCCGAATTGAAGTTTTTCAAGCTAATGAGAGCCAAAGCAATTCTAATAAGAATATTTAGAAAAATATTCACTGTATAACAGTTGAATTAGAACAAATTAAGATGCAAAAAATCCTCGTCTTCCACTTTACTCAGTACAAACAAACGCTATAAACGCATTTCAATATATCTGACATAGCACAAATAACCTTTTTTAATCCTGATTTTATACGGAAATGAAATGTAATTTATTCTATTACTAAAAACTTTGGGAATGAGGTAACATACTGGCTGATTTTTTTAAAAGACCATAAACACAGATTAATTTTCGAATTGCATTTTATCAGTTAGATATTTTTAACTAAAGATTTTGTTTGTTTTCTAATATTAAGTATAAAAATAAGAATTTCAATAAATGTTTTCTAACGTTACAATTTTTTCCTACATGTGGTTAATGAAGAAATTATTTTTTGTAATCTGCTGAAAAACATTAGTTGCTCAGAATTTTTTAACTTTGGCACACACTTTAAATTTTCTACTCAGATTTCTTTTAATCTTAAACAATTAAATCTTCCTAAACCTTCATCCTGAATCTTAGAAGCAATACATTTGAAAAAATCCTCCGACTTAAAAAGAGCCTCTTTTGAAGAACTGCATCTACGCTGATGCAAATTATGTCGAAAATGCTAAATAACTACGCTTTATTTTAGTGGGTATAACAACAACAACAAAAAAAACTTAATTATTCCTTGAAATTAAAACGTCTTTTGGACACACCCCCAACCCAATATTATTCAGACAAACAGAAGTATTGTAAAATGTACAGTAAACAGTAATTCTTTTTATAATGAGAAAAACTGAACTTCTTTCCACAATATTAAAACTTTTAATTTTAGATTTTGTATTAATGTTCTAAGTTTTCTTAATTTATGATTGTCAAATATTTAGTTTGTTTTTCTGTAATTTAATTTCCTGTGCAACTTTTTTTACTATCTGTTATTCCTATATACTGCGCATATTTTTCCAACAGGTGCTCCTGGAATAAAAAAGTCTCTTGCGATGGCCGGCAAACTTTTCGTTTCGGCTTCTTTTACAATCGTTTATGTATATTCAGCTGAAATTTTTCCCACTGTGGCTCGAAACGCTGGAATTGGATCTAGCTCCACAATAGCAAGAATTGGCTCTGCTATAGCGCCTTTTATGAGAGATTTGGTGAGATATTCATTGGATTAAAAAGTTTATTACTAAGAAAATTAAAAATTAAATAAATTTGTACGGGATTACTTAAAATAAAGTTTTTCGGGATTACATGTGTAGGAACATACTAACTTGAAATTCATGTTTTCAAAGATAATACGCTGCTACGTGCGAATATTTTTATTGCAAATCTTGTTTAGTTTCACTTGAATGATATTATTGCTAAATTTATTCTTGTATACAGCAGGAAATACAGTTTTAAAGTAGATTATATAAAACAGTATTCACACTATTCCGTACCTCTCCTTGCATAGAATGGTCGCAAAACTTTGTGACATTTAATTTTCTTTGCTAACATACAATGTACGAAACGTTGTAGAGACTATTAATGAGTTATCACTACGCCTTGTAAGTACCACAGAAATAGGGAAAGAGTGTAAAGGATCCTTTCATTTGTCTCAAACAAAAGTAAAGAAACGGCACCACTCGTGCTTACAAAAGCCAATAAGTAAGGCTTAAATGAAAAGTAATGGATTAACTAAAACTAAGATAAGTAAGTTAGCCTAACGGCTGCACAATTCGAATAACTCACAAGCTGGCTGTGACCTCATAAGATATTTCTCCCGCCTTCTTAGCATGCCTTCGTAGTGTAGTTGTCTGCACGCTAGGCTCGTATTCCAGAGGTCTGTGGTTCGATTCCCGGCCAGGGCGTTGCTCATTTTTCATCTCTCCTGCTTCAAAAAATACCTAATGTCTCTACAACCTAAGGTCAGCGTAACAACCCTAATGGCGAGAATAACATAACGCCGTAGAATACTAGCAAGAGAATCAGATTAGCAGAGTGGCCTTCAGCAGGCAGAACACGCTCTGATTCTGCCCTCTAAAACCTTCCCTTAAATAGCCTCTTCTTCCTATCTCATTTGAATATGGCACGAGCTAAAATTTTACATTCTGGCAGGAAAATAGAAATGCGGAAGTTAGGAAAGCGGTTTAACGTAACATAACTAGTTAGACACTACATCTTTAAAAATCTAATAATAAAGCACTTATATGTAATTCATTCGCGACTTAACTCTCTGAGTGGTATGGCTGATTTCACCTGATCACGAAATCTGTTTCCGCTTTGTTAACATTTTCTAAATTTAAAAAAGATTTAATTTTCTTATTTCCTTTAATGACGTAGATGTAATTTTCATCATCAAATATCCACTCATATAATGCCAAATATAATAGTTGACATATAATTGTTTTGTCATTAAATATATAAATGCACTTTTGTTCAGTTCATGTCAAATAATGCAGATATATGTAATTCATAACTGTTTAACACTCTGAGTATGTGGCAGTTTTCATCGAAACCATTTCATAACGACACTCCGAAATAACGGTGCACACCTTTATGAAAGTCGACCGCTGTACGAAAAGACAGAAATCTTAATAACGGTGCCGCGGTACAAGAAAATGTGCATAAATTGAAAATCAGTTTCTCGCTAAGTTTGATTTATTGGATTATGGCAAAGTTCACAAGGGCTATCTGCTTAAGGGAAAGGTTGGATGATGGAGTACTTTATATTGAAATCTGTCTCGTATCCGCATTACACATGGATAAAATCACGAAAATGCCCATGAGCCAACGCGTACGCCGGTATTCGAACCCAAGTCGAGCTACCAGTGTTTATCGACTTTATCGCTCAGTGGCCACTGGTGGACCAGTTTCCCACTTTAAACTGATCGCTGACACCTTATTGTCATCCTGCGTTTTACATAAAGGTGCGCATCTACATTCCTTTGTAGAAATAGCTTACCGTGCTTTTTGGAATCGCAGATTTCAAACCCTGAATAAACTAGAATAGTAGCCACCAATATATTGGTTGAGTTGTGAAACAGTTTTTGTCAAGGCGTTTTTCATCGGAGTTTTCTTTCTTTTTTTAATCGCCCCCCCCCGAAAAAAAAAAACTTCAGATATACAAATTTCACAAGAGGTAACTAATTTGTTGATTTTTCCGATAATAATCCTATGTGCTGTATCTGACTTCGAATCTAAAATTTTCTGAAGAACACAAAAACCTTGTCTAAAACTTAAAGGTTTATTTAACTGGAACTTCAACACTGATGAAAACTTAACATCACAAACGAAAACTTAACATCTTGGGTGGAAAAACTTCAAAGTGCTTTAAAGTAACAGCTATGCCGGCACGGTGAAGAACACTTTCCCTTAAAATACAGAATCCATCTAGCCCTTTCGGCGTATATCTCCATTCCGCTGAGTTCAGACATCCGCTCCTACGTGTTTTGGACTTAAACAGCCAGGCTGGAACTGGAATAGTACTGGATCAGGACCTGAACTGGGCTGGAACAAGACGGGAACCGGAACAGGACTGGATCCGCAACAAGACGGGAACCGGAACAGGGCGGAAACCGGAATCTCTCATCCCCTGGCTTCTCCCCGGGCAGGTCTCTTCTGGCTCGAACTAAAAGGAACTGCGGTGCCACTAAGGAAAGCACCTCCTTTTATTGCCGGCGGTTGCCGTTACTACAGGCGACTTATGCAAATATTTAACATCCTTCCACCTAAGGGGAAAAAAAAAAAGTGAACTTTCACATCAAAGTAAAACAATGCCAAAGAGCCTTAATATGCCAGTCTGTCCGGCGGAGTTACAGTTCTACCAGATCGTGTTACAGGCCTGACAGATTTATCATCTATGTTGAGTTTAAGTTCAGACAAAGAATCTTGTTTTTCATTCTGCAGCTTCACGGTACATCATTTTGCGCTACCTCTAAAGGATACAGAGTTCGAACTGCTCTAAGCAAAATTCCATTTCGGGTCTTTACTCTTGCAAGCCGATTTATTCCATCAGGTCCTGGAAGTAGTTCTATGACACGACCAAGTTGCCAAAAAGTCTTTTGTCACTACTACCGATCAAAACAATATCATCTAATTTAATAGTAACTTTCCTTTCAGCTCTTTTATGCGAAACCTTGAGAATTCCCAAATATTCTTTACGAAATCTATTTTTAAATGCTTCTCGTACAGTTTGAATATACTGAAATCTTCTTTGTAAATTACTTGATTTAATACCGTATTTTATCCCCGCAAACTACTAGTTCTAATTTCTTTTAAAAAGTCGGCAGGAGTTAAAGCTTTAAATTCAGGATCGGAAGGAATTACTGTCAACGGTCGGTCATTAAGAATCGCTTCACAGTCACACAGTATCGTGTACATTTCTTCATAATTTAAACAAGCATGTTTAAGAACTTTTTTAAGGACTTGCTTCATCATTCCGATCAGACGTTCCCACCAACCACCCCACCATGGAGCACCAGGGGGAATAATTTCAGGACTGGACTGGAACAAGACGGGAACCGGAACAGGACATGTTATCCGCTCATTGGCTGCCTGCCGATTAATTTGTTCAAAATCTATTAATTTAAATGCATTTGAAGCTCCTACAAAATTAGTTCCATTATCACTGTACACAGTTGTGGGTTTACCTCTTCGTGACACGAACCGATGAAAAGCCTGAAGAAACACTTCTGTAGATAGAGAAGTCAGCAACTCCAAATGGACCGCTCTATAAACGGCGCATGTAAAAACACAAATCCATGCCTTTTCTTTGTTTCTCAACAATAAAGGACCACAAAGGTCTTTATGTGACCCGTGACTTGAAAATACTGCTGAATCATTTACTCGCTCTATTGGCGGTGGGGCTGGGGCTGATATGTGGTCAACAGGTACAGCAGAATATCTCTTGCAAGTAATGCATTTACTCAAAACAGAACGCACAGTTCTTCTGCCAGATAACAACCAAAACCTTTCCCTTAAGGTATTCAGTATATATTGTACACCTGCATGTCCTTTCTTTTTGTGTTCTTCCATAATTCCTAACTAATGGATGTTCTCCTGGTAATATTATAGGTGTTCTAAACTTCTAACGTGTAATCTCTTCGAAACGCAACCAGTTTTTTAATTCTTAGAATTCCCGCATCATAAAATGGACTAAGAGTTCGTAAGCGTGCGTCTTCTATATCCTGAAACGATTCCGATTGAATCAAAAGCGAAATAACAACCTTTTCCGCAAAATCAATTTCATCAACAGTGAGTTCACCTTTCCTTTTTTTCCTGTATTCTGCAATTAAAGAAAAATCGTTGAATCCAACCAACAACTCTAACTGTTTTTCGATAGCTAGAAAATCGCTCACTCAAACTAAACCTTTTCAGTAGACACTAGAGATGAAACCACTGCCTTTTTTTTCTCGCTGGCTATTTCCGCTTCATCAGTTATAAATTCGGCACTCGGCCAATTTTCTTGGGATTTTAAAAGCCAGCTCGGACCCTCCCACCATTTTGATTAGCCGGGAGAATGTTGGCGCCAACTGAACACCCTCTTGGAAGATCTGCAGGGTTAAGGTGACCAGGTATATGCCTCCAATCCTCCACGTGTCAAAACCTTATTTCCTGTACTCTATTTTACAAATGTCCCCCATTGTTCTTCCTTTTATCCATGCAAGGACAGTAGTTGAATCTGTCCAGAAAAATATTTTCTCAAAGTCTTTAGAACGTCTGCAGCAAGACGAGATGCAATAGTTGCTGCTAACATTCTAATCTTTACTAGTCGTTTCCTTTTTTACCACAAGGGGAAACTCTAGACCTAGCCTGAAGCAACTGGACTTTAACTGATGATTCTTCTTCAACACGAATAAAACTACTGCCGCATACGCTGCTTGACTGGCGTCACAAAAAACATGGATTGAACACTGTTTTGGCTGATATCGTATCCACCTTGGATTTTAATGTTTTTCAAAAGAGAAATGTCTTTACCCATTTCAAAAATTACTTTTAAATTTCGGTTTTAACTTCTTCGTCCCATTTTACTTTTGTTTCCCATTACGCTGTAATAACATCTTAGGTAATATAAGGACTGGACATGTTATACCGATGGGATCAAATACTTTATGGGCTATTGCCAAAATACTTTCTTTTCGTAACTTTCTCGAAACAAAGATTTTGTAAATTA